TACATCGCTTCCCTAATGACAGATGGCAGCACATAAATATGGTCGCTTAAATGGTTATTTCCAAACTATGAGATAACATACGCGGTGAAATCTGAAGATGCAGATGCAGCACGGAGAGCATGTTTATCCAGACAACAACTCCACACAGCTCCTTTATGCCCTTCAAATGTTCCAATCCAATCTCCAGTTTCTCCATTTCTCAACATTGGTGTAGAATCTACATGACCGGAAGATTTCATAAGGTAAAACAAATAATAATGCCACGAATAATTACATCAGTGAATGAACATATATTAGAAGAAAAAGAGCAACAGGAAAAAATCTTTTTCGGTTAGACTGTAACACTCAAGAATAACTCAAGAATAACCGTTTTGGAAGAAGGATATGCTTCCAAGACAAGGATACAATCGAAACTGGAGACGCAGAAGGATTACAGTAACACATACAAGATTATGTTCTATATTGTATTTTTGGAGTATTACCATAAAAATCAAGTCAAAATAAACAACACTTAAAGGATGGCATTAATTCAAACTATCTATCGCATACACTACTGCTAACATGCAATTCCGGCATTCAACCTGATATATTATACTCCCTCCATTATATAGCTTCGTTTGACAGGGAAGAAAATTTAAGAAAAATAAGAAACCTTTGAAAATACATTTCACAAAATCACTGGAATGCAGAATAAAACGACTAAGTGAAACTTCTGCGGAGTATCACTGAGATGAAATTTAGCCAAAATAAGGGAATATTCTGGGACAGTAGCCTGAATGCTAACAACAGAATCATGATGTTAGGTATCCAAAACAAGCTTTACCAGTATTTATGTAATTGTAGCCTGTACCTTAGAACCAAATATCAGTTGCAACCTCAAGGTAAAGGAACCATTTTATTCAAGCAGTTTCAACTATGTCACAGTACTAAAATACGAAAAAATCCTTTATGATTGGAATAAGCTTTAACTAAATGTCATTCAATAAATGAGCAACACAGGATGTAGTCTGGGGTTGTTAGTAAACAGAATCTACATTAAACACAAGTTGTCTAAATTAGTTAGAAATCAAGAATGATGTACATTACAGAAGAAGTGCATCAGATAGCAAAATTCATTGAAATACCAAATTCACCATCCATCAATTAGATTATTAATATGTAGATAGAACAATGTATAAAATGTACCAGCAGAACACTTAGAAACTATTCCCAAATAAAAATGTTACTAATAAGAGTTGCTTCACTACAATCTCAAGGTACATTT